CAGGAATGCACAGCTCTCATCCTGGTGCTGGTGACATATTAGGCTCATTGTATCTCTAGGATATTAAAACTTTAAACGTGGTGTTTCTCATTTTTAAAATGTTCCCATTCACTACTTGTGTATTTCTATGATTCTCTAACATTCTCACACCACAAATGCCAACAGTATTATTAACAAAAATTGTCTGAATAACTGATCTCCCCAAACAGGCCCATTCCTTTAAGAGCTACTGTAACTTTTCAAATATGTAAATCTGTTCATTCTAGAAGAGATTAGCTGCAAATTTGTTCTTACTAAAGGCAAACCCAAACCAGCATTTCTATTAAGACAGAGTGAAAAAGAATCAATGAATTGATTTAAGAAAATGGATTTGCTCCCATAAAAGAACATGGATGAAAGCTTCTGTGCTTTTCCAATTAGCTCTAAAACACCTGGGAAAAAGTTAAGATCTTGAAATGAAAACTTGAGAAATCACATGGTTATGCTGAAAACAAAAATCTGTTGAAAAGCTAACAGCTATGAGACATCTGAATACCAAAGCTGTTTTCCCTACTTCCTACAGTAGGTTTTTAACCTCCTCCCCCCCTTTTTTTTTTCCATTCTGTATGTGTACGCACATACAAATCCCCCCTTCAAACCTTAGCATGAGGTATATTACAGTAACTGCAGTACAGCTCATCTGAAGACCCTCCCAAAAACTGGAAACAAACATTGCAACAAAAGGTAAAAAAAACCTCTGGTTATTACAGCTACCAGAGGACCTCACAAGGATAAATGGAAAGGAAAGCATGCTCAGAATACAATTCAAACAGTCTTTTGGAAAAGAAAGGCTACAACTCTAAATTTCTAAATGTGAAATGAAGAAGGATGCAATGTGTTTATAAAGTGAACTCTAAATAGGTAGGGTTTGGCAGGGGGGAGAGCAGAATCTGTATACTCAGTAAGAGGATGATTTCTGAATGTACATTCAGGACTATGATCTTCAAAGTGTTAAGATTATTACCATTAATACAGCTTAAAGATGCACATAAATGGTGTATTAAAATAATTCTTTCCAACCCCATTGGCTGGTTGGTTGGTTGGGTTGGGGGGAGTTGGTTCTTTTGGCTTGGTTTTTTTTTTTACTGTCCAAGAATGCTACCTCATCAAAAGATTCTCAGTTAATGTGACATCTTTTTCAGTAAGCAATATTGACTAGCATTATTTCAGTGTCACGTTTTAAAAACTCTTTTTAAACTCTATTAATGAGCTTTATGTTATCAGTTCTGGGGTTTTTTTTCCTCCCAGATCTTATGGTGGGATGACCATTCAGTATCAAAATCATTCCGCCTAATCCTTTTAGGTATTCAACATGATACGCACTTTTTTTTCAGTCTTAGGTGGTCCTAACAGAGCCCTTTAACCAGTTCTAAGTACTTCTATTTTCTGTATCTGCCTGTTTAAAAGGTCTGCCTATAGTAACTAGTTTCTAGAATTCTGATTATTGTTCAAATAAATGTATCATAATGTACATAAAAGCACTTCGTATTTTTCTCAACCGCAGAACAGTACGTCTTCAACAGTCCTATTGTAAATAAAGATGATGTTAAACAACAGCTATTAATGATGCATATTTTAAAACCAGCTGGTGTAATTTATATCCAAGAGTCTTAAAAGATCTGGCTAAAGCCTACAGAAGGTGTAACATTTTTTCAGTAAATCTTGGAAAAATTGAGGTTTAAAAGAAAAATAAGTTTGGAAACACTATGAAGCTTTACAAAAGCTTTTGGAAGTTGGGAGAAATGGACCATTTGTAGGCAAAACAAACAGTTTAACAAGATTCTGTGGTACAAGTACGCACCACAGAAGTACATAACAAACGTGACTGAAAACCCCCTGAAATTAGCAATTACCAATTTGTCTTTATTTAGTACAATACTGAAGATGTTACTATTTAGTAATCAAGCTCTGATTACTAAATTACTAAATGATGATGTCATTCTTCTTAACTTAGGTTTATCTGCACTCACCCTTGCTTTCAACAGATTTTTACAGTGAAGACTGTAAGGAAAAACTCCCCACTTCCCAGGAAATCTCCCCACAAATCCGAAGTGTTTCTGTGTTTCACACCTTTGGCTTGCTTAAGTGCCAGTGTTGAAAAACATAAAATCACATCGTGATTCAGTTATGTTCCTGCCATTTGAACTGTAACTGGCAAATGGAGACTTTGTTCAGTGTTTGTGAATATGGCTTCTCCCCCAAATACTGTAGCACAGTGACATGTTCTTAACTGCGGGTCACAGATTTCTTTTTATGTCCTTCTGCTCATGCTGTTGCATTGATTATGATCTCTATACACAATACTGCCTGCAACATCATTGGCTTTGTATTCGTGGCCTAAAGTAATTTTCCTGGATGAGATTATCTTGAGGGCCTTCACTGAATATTTTAGTATGTCAAAACTACGATCACTTATGTTTTAGTGTTAATTATGGGGACAAGAAAATCAGCACCCTTTGTATCTTTCAGATTTTTCCCTACTCTCCTCTGCAAGGGGATGTTTCATGACATACCCAGTGTCTCTTCACATGCAAAAGTTTGCTTTTAGTGCACTTCATGCAAGGAATGCTTGCGACATTTATTTTGGTAGCACTGCCAACCTAGGAAGACTTTCCCTAACTGAGACACTGGTTTCCACTTCATACTGTCAACCCAAGTGGTTATTCTGGGGAAAAAGAACACTCATACTGTATGAGGAAACGAATGCAGATTAAAAATCAGCTTACATAACCTAGCATTAATAAGCTGTATTTTAAATCTTGCCCTGGTTAATGTACAGGGTCACACACAGCTTACAAAACAGCTGCTGGGATAGGAGAAGACAGGAAATAAGGAAGCAGGGAGAAAGACTGGAATTTATACTTAAGCCGCCTCACACCAAAAGAAATGACATAACAACAGACTGAGAATCTGTAAGTTTCTCATTACACCCTCATTTGCAGAAGACTTCTAGCTTACACAAGCTTGTTCAGTCAATCTATGAATAACTACATGGATCATCCTTGCAGTTAAATGCCATTGCTGATATAGCTACTGAGCCTTGCCTTTAAACAGGAAAAAACGCAACCAGCTCCCTCATGTGCACTGGCCATCTCTACAGTAACTTTCCAAATCCGAATAACTGATAAATATACCACAACAGCAGAAGAATTCTGCTTGCTTCCTTCCTTCAGGATTTGAGCTAAGATTTAGATCAGCAGTTCAACAGTCATAACTATGGCATTATTTCACAATTTCACATTAAGTAAGATTTATAAACAGAGATAATTTTTTTTTTAGTTAAAAAGATCTGCAGCTTTTGTAGTTTCTCACCTCGTTTTTCCAGAAGTATTTTTAACAACTTTTCGGAATGACTGATTTGCTGAGGATCTTGTAGACATAGTTCTAGGAGAAGCACGAACAAAACTAGATGGTGGCGTCTTAGGGATCTTCTTTACTAAGTGAGTCACCCACTTCTTCTGTTCATCTTGACAGGATGCCAATAACAACATATCTCTTGCTGAAGTTACATCGTAACTCACTAAAAGTAAACGGAGGAATACGATTCAGTGAAAACTAGGACTTGTTATTAAAAAAAAACGGTGTGCCACTGGAAAGAATGATGACACCTATATACATACTTGTATTGGAATTGTTTATATATGCCTGGAAGACGAGAAACAGCATGGGAAATTATGAATATAGTTTCTTTCAATATTTGTCATTCTACATTAAGATTCTTGATTCTAACATTAATATTCAAGAAATGAGAAAACTTACACCAATTGCAGTCTTAATAAGCTGCAAATTAATAAGCTGGAAAGCTGCATGGGTGCCTCATGGATGAATTCCAGAGCACAAACCCCAAATATTCCACAGGAGCACAGAGAAGAAACCTTTACTCCAACCCATGAAGTTGGAGTAGAACCACTCTTCAAGGTCTTAGCACAGCGTGGTGACGTGGCAGCTGCATTGTCTCTAACGTGGGCCGTGTATAAGAGAGAATGGTCTGGGAACTGAGGAGCTGCCCAGTACTTGGGCACAAACCGCTGGGGACCCTTGTGCTCTTGGGGCCCTCAGCAAAGCCACATCAGTGACACCACCACAGGCTCCCTATGGAGGCTTCCCACAGCTGCCTGTTCACGGGCAGTGTTAACAGCCTATTATTTTAATAGCACCTTTCACATCTAAAATCATAAAGCTAAGGAGTAGAAAACTTTTAAACTAAAGTGCTTTTATTTGCCTTTGATAGTTTAGCAGGTCTGGCTACGCACGCAGAGAACACAGAATGCAAAAACCCACAAGTATACCTTTGCATGGTGCAATTAATTCCTCCTTTTTATCTAAGTGGTCTCTATGGCATTTCACATGGCATCTTCGACATTCTAGGGCAGCAGGGGGTTTAAAGACATGCCAAAGAGGTTTGGCACAGGCCTCACAGTTGGCTGGAAAGTGGTATAATGTTGGAATAAATTCGTGGCCTTTGTGATTTAGAAAATTCGTCTTCTCTGTCGGCTGTACTGGTTCTACCTCCAAATCCTTCCTGCATTCCCCCTCATTAGCATAGAGAATCTGAAAAAGAATACTGCTGTGTTATTGCTGAAGCACTATGTATTTTTCTATACTTTTCAAAGAAGCCACCAAACTTTTCAAGAGAGTTAAATAGAAATGGGAATACACTTCTTTTTACCTGGAATATTTTAGGAATTTCTTCAGTTTCAGCTCTATATACATCTCCTTGAGTCACAGGCCGGACATGGAACAGCTTACTAGTTTAGAAGAAACATGAATCAGATAATGTTAAAAGGCTATGAGTGTTTTAAAAACAGTTATCAAAGTGCTTTGAAGTTCTTGTAAATCTTGTTTATACAAGTGATATGATATATTTTAAGGCTACAATATGATTTTAGGAATTAATTCATAGACCATACAGATCTTGCCTACCCAAGTAAGACCAAAACATTTCATAGCATGGAAAGAGGGTTGTTGTACAATGGGTTCAAGAACCATCATGGCAAATTTACCTGTGAAAAACGCGTCCAAATTCTTCCTCAAAACACTAGGAAGTCTAATGGATTATTAATAGAAAAGCTTATTGATAACCCTGGATGGAAGTAACCATATGAAGTATAGTACTACTCACTAATTATTTTACTAAATCATGTTATCAGTTGATAAACAATCAATGCCAGAACATCACAAAAGGCAATCTGGAGCACCAGCTGTTGAAAATGCTACAAAAATTGAAACAAACATCATCTTATTCTGGGTCAAGACTGCAAGTCCATCTATCCCAACATCCTGTTTTCAACAGTTGCCGTAACAGATGTTTATGAAAAGAGAGTAAGAAACAGCTCAAAGAGAAAATAACTCTTTTCCTGGTTACGAGTAATTGGCAGCTTAAGCACTTCCTGAGTTTGAGATTCCTTCCAGACCACTGTATTTGTTAGTCACCGATAGACCTATTCATAAATTTTAAAACCTTTTTTCAATTACTACTCTTTAAGGTCCCATAATGTCAATCAGCTGTTCAAACATCACACTCAGTCATATATCAGCAATGGGCTTCAGTGATATTTGACACAATTTTCCTCATGTATAACCAATCTAAAGGGATCGCAATTCATTTATTTTGTCACTTGAAACAGAAACCATCTGGAAAAGTTAGAAATGCTTTGGGCTTGATAAACATTGATCCTTTCTCAGCAAGAATACGGTATAAAGCAAGGGGACGAGACCTAAAAATCAGACAGCCAGTTCCCTATCTATCCCACAACTACCATGTCCTGCTTTAGAAAGCAGCTATTGAAGCAACTGGAAAAAACAGTCATTACACTGAATCATAAAAAGAGATAGCATAATATGTAGGTTCCACTGTCTCTGACTCTTCTCTGTCATAATGAGCTGAGGCTCTTGATTTCTGTAAATTCAGACCACTGACTACAGACAGTACCACACTATTGTGTGTTTAACTTTTTCTCTAACTTTTAGCAATAGTAGGACAAATAAAAAGTAGTATCTTCTGTTAACAGCACCCTAAAATAAACAGACATTTTCCAACATTTCCATTTTCCATATGGGAAATTAAAGAAATATTTATGGAATTTTGATTCCAAGCTTCTAGATTTGTTATCAGTTCTCTCTCACACGATACTCTTTTGCCAATTTGTATCCAAAATTAACAGTAACTTTACTTACTCTATATCTAGTACCATGGATGGATTAGACTGGTCCTTGTCCTTTTCATCATTGTAGAACAGTATCTTTTTACTGCTCACCACAACATACTGGGGAAAGAAAGGGTAAAAACAAGTTAAAATTGCATTTTAAAAAGCAACATGTATCCTTCTGTACTCCCACATATATGCACATAAAAAGCCTGAGTAAATTAAGGTTTTTAAACTAGTATCAGGAGATATTTAAATCATCGTGCAGGCAGCTACAATACTGACAGCTGTGCAATGCTACAGGCTGGAGTATTGTCACTGGAGAACTCTAAAAGGCTTGTCACAACTCTGGAAGTCCATCTGTACACAAACTCACAAATTTCAGTTGCTACTGGTGTGTTACTATGAAAATTACCGTATCACTGAGAAACGCCTGGAATGCAGAATCTATCACTTATTGACAAAGTTGTAAACAACAACTGTAGTTCTAGAGACCTGCAGGACTCACTGGTACTTCATACCAAACTACTGGTAGGCTAAAAGAGATTCTCACAGCTCCAGTTAACTATTTCCTACACTTTCAATTTAATGGACTGCTAAAGTAAAGAGCCAAAATGAATCAGCAGAAACAGAGGTCTGGTATACATTCCAAATCTAGGAATACACTGAGACAGTAAGAGAAAGGTTTGCAGAGCAGGAGAAAAGAAATGGACATTCTTTTGCTATGTGTCACTTTAAAGGTCAAACCACAGAGTTTCTTCCAGAATGGTAAAATTGTTAAAGAACAGAAACATTTGGTAATGTGTTGATTAGGTTTTTCCCTGAGTATTTTAAAGGTTCTTACTCAAAATATGCATATTAATACATTATACCTATCCCACACCACTGAAAAAATGGAGTACTCCAGAATGCATGGGATTCTGGTGAATAGGCAAGAGCTACTGGAAAGGCACTGTGAGTTTTAAGCAGGAGTGGACTGCAGGCCCCATTTCCAAGAGAATTCCCAAATGCCAAGTATGACTGCAGTGTCCACCTCCCTTCCGTCTCAGAAAGCTCAAGGATGTTGTCCCCAACCTAAAGTACACAGACACCCTTCCAGTGATGCTAACAATCACACAGAATTATAAACACTTGTTCATATGACAGGGAAAAAAAAGCAAGCTGCTCAGAAAAAAAGTTTTGCAACCCACAGGCCAGTTAAGATCAAACACCTCTAACCTAAGCACTTCCCAGTGAGTTCAAGCCTGTAGAATTCACTGCCTGCTGCTCTTCGGTGGGAGCTGCCAGTCCAACATCTTTGCTACAACCATCTGTGAGCATAAGCTCAGTGACAGCTGTGGCAGTTCCCTCCCCTATAGTTTCAAATGTTTTAGAAACAACGTATAAAAGGTACTAGGTGCTAAAAAGGATTAAAAGAGGTAGTCTGGCTGCTCTCTCTATATTGAGCTCCAGATTCACGTATAATATGACTCAGAAGCAGGGAAAAGGACAGAAAAGCAAGAGAGTGAATACACAAACAGTTCATCTTGAACTCCAGTTACTGGTAGGTAATTGAATGGGTTTCTGCACGATGCAGATACTGACAATTTAAGTAAATGCTGTTTATTCCTCCTACAAGAGGAGGTTGAACCTCCTCATTACAGAGGACTTTGACCTCAAAACCTGAATACAAAAGTTACCTTCTTCCCCCTTATTAAAAGGGCTTTCAGCCCCTCAGTCAGGATTTTTTATTAGAAAAGAATAAAGAGGCTGACTACAAGCCTCCTGAAGTTTCAGATGCGGTACAGTCCAGCCAACAGAATACACACGTAAGTCAGCATGGCCCCTCACTACTGTATCTCACTGGTTTGAACCTCAGCTAGTTTAAGGAATCTTACCAGCATGACTCATTTTATGACAGAGGCATCCATCTGTAGCTCAAATTCCTTCAAAGTGCAAGAACTATTATTCAAACTAGGAAAGTTTGAATGGAGTAACTGCCTAAAATATCTTGAGGAAACTAAGTATGCCTATAATGGGCATGCCTAAAGAAGCTCAGATACAGTCTTTCACTGAAGAAGCTGCATTTATCACAAGTTTAAAATGTTAATCATCAGAGGATGCAAGAATAATCTCCATTTCCTAAAGACAACCAGAAAAGGCTGCTGGAGGTATTCTGAGAGGAAAATAATGCAGTATTTTAGATAATACAGAGCAGAATAAAACTACACGACTTGTGCCTAGGCACAGTCACTTCCATTCACGGACACTGCCGGAAGTCTGACAGCCACTTGGAGAATCAATTCTGGAACAACAGGAGTCAAACAGCCTCAGCTATCAAACGGAACAAATTCTGGAACAGATTACAAATAGGTGTGTGTCGTGAGACACCTGAAGAACATTCAAACACTACCAATGTTTGACTCGAATACACCACCAAGAACATTCTTGACCTTGCTCTGCAGACTTCCTGCAGTTCTGCTAATAGGGAGACAAAGTGAAATGCAAAGAGACCAGAAACCAACTGAAAAGCATTTGAGGTGTCTGTACAAAACCCCAGGTTCCAAACTGTGGTAAGCAAGCATTTTCAACATGGGACTTGTTCACATCGCCTCTCATCTGAGGGTCTGGGAGAATACTCTAAGCAGCCATTAGTTGAAATAGGGCAGAGCTTAACACTTGCTCTCAGCAAGCTAGAATAGGTGGTGATTTTAACTTACAAACACATCACCAAGGAGGTCTGATGTTGATGTAAAAATAGGCAAGTCTGCAACTCAAAACACTTTGTATAAAGAAGGTCATGTCAGCCAAGTGAAAAGCAGAGAACTTGAAAGGAGGAGTTCAGCAGCTAAAGGCCCAATACAAACACTTCAGTGCTTCTTTGACAGGAATTAAATCCTTCTCCATTAAATTTTGTTGGAACCACTTCTAACACTTGTAGAATGCAAACGTAAATAGGAGCATCTGAAAAGGTTGAATCAGAAAGTTATGTTGAAAGTGTCATGAATTAACTGAGTAATTTCCAATACTGGTCTTTGAATATAAGCAAGGAAGATGCAGGGAAATAAACTACTTCATACAAATTGCTTGCAAAATTTACGAAATTCTAGTGACCACGTTCACTTTTGCAATTTGTTATACTAAAAGATGTTCAACAGGCAAACTGGAAAACCAGAAAACATAATCGGAAACTTGTTCTAAGCTTCTAGACATCTCAATTTGAACATTGGAAGTTTCAAAGAACCAGATCATAACCTCTGCAGAGGCAAAAGAACACTGCTTTGTTTAGAGTGGGAATTCCAGCACAGAGGTTCAGTTTCTGAGAGTAAACCAGTTCTTTTCAAGCAAGACTGACCATTTTAAAAGTCAGGGAGATGGACATGTCCTTGGAAATCATGTGTGGCAAGTTATAATGTGGTGCACTCTTCCATGGCCTTCACAAAATGTGTGGTATTGACTACTCTCTGCTGTCAAATTGCACAAAAAGCTTATTTTTCAGTAAGAGTATAATAAAGAAGCTTACTCAAAGGAGAAATGGGATTTTTAATGGTTCCAAGCTGCCTATTGTAAAGCATTTCCTCACCCACCTGTTATTACTACAGATTTCATACTGAACTTGAATTTTCTTATTGGGTTTTTTCTCTTCAATAAAGTAATGTATACAGACTAAATTACTCTAATTATTTTGTTTGTTTCTTAAATGTGAGCTGTAAAACCATTTCACCGTATGCCTAAAAACTTTCCAAAGGAGTTGAGGAGAAAAAAAAATAATCCGTTTGTACCTGTTTCTTCCAGCCATGTCGCTTTATATTTCCTTTGTTTGGTACTGAAAGCCAACCTTCAAGTCTCGATTCTGGTTTAAAAAAATGCATATTAAATAATTTTATGTATTGATAATAATAAAGCAGAATAGCACAAAAGCAAGTTATTACTAGAAAGGAAGATGTACTACATGCAGTAATAGGCAATAACCTATTTGGCAAAGCAGAATAAAAAGCACAGGTAAATAAAATGAAGATATAAGCATTTACTTCATGCTTCGTCACAAGCTAACACTTGATGATACAGTTACTGCAAAATAAAGTGAAACTGTTTTCCTTGATGCCAACATCTAACACTCTGTAAATAGTTTGCAAAGAGCCAGGCAGGAAAGACTTTGCTTTGAAAATGTGTTACAGCTTAAACAGAGGATGATTAAGAGATTTTCAATATAAACATAATTTGACATCCAGAGGGGCTATATGGAAGATGCAGCAAGTAAAACAAACCAGATTTCACATTTTCACGAAAAAAGGAGAGCGCACAAGACCAAGCAAAGCTACATGGGTGTCCCATTACTCACAGAAGATAAGCATAGGAGATAAATAAATAAGGAATGCAGGAAGAATCAACTAGATATAAAGAACAAGAGACAAGCATTTTATTAAAATTTTCAGTGGACAATTTTCCAGAGAGTAGTGTAATAACATTTTCCTACCACCAAACTACTGAAATAATTTAACAATGACACAAAGAAGTGTCACAAGAAAATTAGCATTCTGCCTAATGAGAATCACAGATTTTAAAAACCCCTCCAGCTAACTGATACTGGTTTGTGACAGATATTTTTAAAATTATGAAGACAGGTAATAGCAGTGAGAAGCTATCATGATTCCATTAATTTGAAATGACACTGTAAAAAGTCTCACAATTTTGTAAATGTAAGAATGAAGTAATCAAAATTTTACTCCGTAATTAGAAATGTATTTCACAATTGACAAAAATTTTGTAAATTTTTTGTAAATTATTATAAAAATGTGATTTGTAAAAAAAGTGTCAGAGTACAGAAATATAGCCAATAGCTAATGTATGCATTCTTGACAATAAACTTAACTGGCAGCACTAAAAACATTCTCCACAAATATTTATGTAAGAGGGAGCTACTGGTCCCTTTTATCCTTCAGGAATAACTCTCTGAGACATGTAGCCCAGCAAGCTCTGAAAATACATCCAAATATATAAAAGTTACTGTCTATATACTTTGTTATGTAAAATTAAACGAGATTGACAGCCTGGCCTTCTACAAGGCACTAAAACTAGGCATAAAACCCCCCTCCCTGCATTAGCCTTACAGCATACAATATTTAGAGAAGTGGACTACACTTAAAAATATAGAATCATTTCCTAACATTTCTCCGCACAGAGTAACTTCAAAATACTGGGGGACCACTGACCTATTGAAATTCTAATTGGAAGAAAGGCATGATAGCAGAACTCATTCCAGTAAGAAACCTTCCTGGACAAATGAAGGAAATTTGTATTTCCCTGCCTCTCATAAGAATTGTGGGGGGTAGGGGTTGCCCCAGACCCCCCCCCCAATTCTGGATATTCAGTAAGTCTGGAAAAAGAAACCTATTTCCTTCATGTCTGCAGGCATCACAGATAATGCCTACCCTATTCTGAATACTTTAATTTTTACATCAAGAGAAGGTTGTTCCATTTTTAGTAATTTTAGAAGTATCCTAAAACTCAAGTCCTCCATTGAAAAAAAAAAAAAAGTGATTAACTGCTGATAAAGAACATGGTATGGATAACTGTGATTCAAAAGGAATATAGTATTGCATTGGGTCTGGCTGAAATGCAGTTAATTTTCCCTATAGCAGCCCTCATAGTGCTGTGCCGTGTTACCAGTAGCCAGCAAGGTGTGGATAACACACCAGTGGTTTGGCTGCTGCTGAGCAGTGCTGGCGCAGCACCCAGGCTGTCTCCAACATTCCCCCCACCAGTAGGCTGGGTGTGGGCAAGATTTGGGAGGGGATGCAGCCAGGAGACCTGACCCCAACTGACCAAAGGGGCCATATGACATCTGCTCAGCAATAAAACCTAAGAGAAAAGAGGAGGACGGGGGGCATTCATTTTTATATTTGTCTTCCGGAGCAACCACTAATGCCTACTGAAGTCCTACTTCCTGGGAAGTGGCTGGACATCGCCTGCTGATGGGAAGTAGAGAATAAATCTTTTGGTTTCCTCTGATTCCGCACACAGCCTTTGCTTTATTAAACTGCCTTTATCTTGACCCACGAGGTTTTTTCCATCTCCTCTTCCCAATCCTGCTGAGCAGGGGAGTGACAGAGCGGCTGGAGCAGGGGAGTGACAGAGCGGCTTGGTGGGCACCTGGTGTCTAGCCAAGGTCAACCCACCACAAGTATGGATGACTGTGATTCAAAAGGAATAAGTACACATCTGTGGAAATTGTGGCATAAGAAAATCTGGAAATACCCAATAATGATAAATTTGAAAAGATGCACCAGATACTACACTGCTTATAGGGACAGTGTGAGTAGGAGTTTTTCTAAGTTCACTTCTACTTCAGCACGTTCTGAAAGAAATTTCAAAGGAAGTAGAAAGTGGATGAGCTATTACAAATGAATCAGTTGACATTCTTTTTGGTCTACCATAAATCTATTTTAGTGAGCAAATTCTACTTGCATGAGAGATGATTTCTGAGCTGTGAATAACGTCTTGCAGTTGAAAATAACAGTTTCTGAATGTATTCCTTTTCAACAAACCTAACATTCGTCTGGAACCAAATATACTCTTGAAAGGGTAGATGAGCCCTTTCATTCCAACCCTGCCACAAAGGTTTGTCTCAAGTAATATTTATAGTGCATTTTAATTTCCCTTGACATAGTCAGCTAGCACAACTGCAAATGCTCATCTGGCCATCTCACAAGTATTTGATCTGGAAGAATAATATTTATGAGTGTTCTGATTAAGTAATTAAGAAAATATGGACTATCTAGACTATGAAAAAGAATCTTCCATTCCTGTCTTTAAAAACAGGCTCAAAACTATTGCCTGACAACTTTCCTGTTTTTTGGAAAGAATCCCAGAATTGATGCTTCATATTTCCAATCCAGAAAATCCAAGATACGCCTCAAAAATATCTGATGGCTAGCTGGACCTGAATAGAATATGAAGAAAGAACTCCAGGCTACAGATCTTATAATTATCTCAATATATATTAAAATGAGGATTTGCATTCTAAACATCTTCATGGTTAGTACTCATATTTCAGGATTTGTTGTGATTCTAACAGTAACCCTTCAATAAAATCACACAAGACAACCATGACTGCACTAATTTATAAGACTTTTTGTTGTTTTAGAGCTAAGTAACACAGGCACCTTCATGAGCAGTAGAGCATCTCTTTCCAATGTTCAAGAATTTCTACTCCTCAGACTCTTCCACAGTAACCAAAAACCTGGAGATACTACCTTGCTAATCCTTTCCAGTCTACCCCTCCCATTTGGTTCCTTCCCTCCTCAGATTGTCCTACTATAATTTCATGTGCATCTATCTCACCAAGGATTGCTGGCTGGATCTTACTTTGAGGCTTATTCAGGTGATGGCTACTTGCAGGTATTTCAGAAAGTCATATCTGTGTCCCATAGTCCAAAAAACCTGCTGGCTTAAATGGTCCAGGTTTATTATTCCATCCTATCTTTGTGTAAAACACGATTTATAACATATGTGGTAAAATATTATATGCTGCAGTTAAACCTGTAGGACAGCTCAGTTGCTTCAATTATCTTGCCAATCAGATGAAAAAAACCTTAATTCACAACAGGTTAAGTGCCCTATAACAATTAGGAAAAAACCCCTTAAGTTCCTGATTACATTTTGTCTTGACAAAGAAGAATTCTGTTTACAATCATGTAAGTACTAAGACTTCCTAAGTCCAACCAGGAGGAAGAGGCATTCCAAATGCATCATTAAAAAGCAAATATTTCAGTTGTTTCAGTAAGGTCTCTGTTAACATTGGAGACATCAGCTGAGACATGAGCTGCTATCTGAATCAATAATCAGGAGCAAGAGTCACAAAAAATGCCTAGAACTGAATAAAAGGAAGACCTTCCTCCAAGTCATGATCTTTCCCATCTAGTGAAGCAAAAGCCTGAGAATAGCCTGGATTGTCTAAACAAGCCAATCTCTACCTTGAGAGCAGCTTAAGTTGCCCTGGGAGCTACCAGAACTTGAGGGGGTATTTAGTTCAATGACAGACAGAAACCACCTCCAAGTAAGATGCAGCTCTAAAGTGTGTTACCGTGTGATTTCTCTGTATCTACCTCCAAATACGGAAAAAATTTCCTTAAATTTTTCTAAGTATTAGGAATTCATTTTAGTATTACCTTGAGTTTATTCAGAGTGCAAAGCCTTCTGACCCCAAAATTTTACAAGATGCTCTTCCTGTAAATTATGAATTCTACTATCATAGCCTCTCTGGTGGCTGGTAACCTAAGCTCCCTGATTATACAAGACACTGCCCCACAGTGTGAACCTCTCTGCCATGCAGGAGGACTGCAAAAAGTGCCTGATTGCCAGGGGTTTCTCTGGAATTCTGCCAACATTTCTATCACACCGTCTCATACCAAGTTTTTTCTCAATTAAACCAGAGACTGCCCATTGCCAGAATTAGACCATGGAATCAATCTTTTATACATGTTTACATTATTCTGCGTTTTTATTTTTTCCCTGTGACAGGAAACTGAATAAATCATACTATGATTACTTATTTAGTAATTCTACCATTTATTTGCCTTAAATATTTTTTAAGGAATGTCTTTGCCTTAAGAACAGATGCATCAGCTAGAGAATCATATTGACTACTCATCAGATCCACCTTTTAAGATGCTATTCAAGATGCTCTGAAGGAATGTCTATGAGCTACAGAACTGATGTAAACTTAGCACACAGTTGAAGACAACCAACTTCATACAATTACATTGTAGCAAATGAACTGCTGTGGTATGCCACCTTCTGTTTTGAAGACTAATTACTTGGTTTGCAGAAAAACAACTATGCACTGGATAATTTCCTCTTTCTGTGGCATAGGGTATTTTTACCTTGAAGACTGGCTTTGTTATTTTTTCCTCCTTATAATGCTAGCGCACTCCTCCTCTGCCCTCTACTTGACTCTTTGACAAATGTGTGAAATCAGACATGATCAAGGCAATTTTGCATTCAAGATACAAAATACAGTCATGATGTTGTGGAAATGCTGGCCCTGTATTCTATTCACTGGACATTGCACATTGTATTCACTATATTCAAACAGCAGCAGATGTAAAGATACTCTTTCTGTGAAAGGGGATAAAAATTATGCTAATGCCGATCCATACAGTGGGAAGAGTGCTGCAAGAAAAAATTAAGACAAATATAAGTAGCTAAGCTACAAAATTAAAAAAAAAAGCGGAAATGTCATATAGAAAGAGACAGCCAGAAGATTTTGAAAGGTAGTAACTTGTTCGAAATAATCCTTCCAAAACTACGTGTATGCACAAAATCAAGTAGTTCAAATACGCCTTCCTCTTACCTGAAAGATTTCCATCTGTTTCATCTGGCTGGAGACTAGCAACACTGGTAGAGTCCATTCCTTGCTGGAGGTCCAAAATTTTCCTTCGGAGTTGTTCTATGTCACTCTCTTTACTATCCAGCTGCATCTGGAGCTCATTCCTGTACGTAGATTCTTCTGCTAGTTGCTGTATTTATACACACATGCATAGTTACTGTGATACCAAGAATATGGCAGCAAAGTATTCTGAAAACAAGGCGCTTTTTTTCTACTATCTCTAGATAGTTTTCATAGCATTAGAATAAATTATTATAGTAGAAGTGTTTGTTCAGCCTTGGAGAAAAGTTAAATATCAAAGATCTAGCAATGTATTCAAGTACAGAACAGTCTGATTAATCTATTAAATTGCCATTTGTTTTGAAAAGGTGACCACCTACCAGTGAAATAAACTGCATAAGTAGTATGCCACACAGTATTCAGTTTTTTAGTCTTCAGAATATATTAGTAACTTCCACAGTTAAGAATTTAGAAAGGGGAAATGAATGAGAACAAGCACAGCTGCACACTTGTCAAGTTCTCTGCCTCACTAAAATTCTGTAGCCTAGACATGTGAAAAGGAACTTGTTCTTCTTTCAAGTAGACTAGGAACTAGACATTTTTCCTGCAGAGAGGATTCCACAAAGTGACAAAAAAAAATTTTAAGATTATTTTACCGCTTGCATTTCATTGAGCTCCTTTTGGTATTTCACTACCATCTGATTGAATTTCTCTTTTTCTTGATTAAGCTCTAATTGGAGCTTTCGGTTTTCCTTCTCTTTCTTCCTCAAATCTTGCATATTAGCTTTCTTTCTGTCTATTTTAAAATCTTTCCGATTCATTATCTCAGCCAGTTTGTTGACAGCCTGTTAAGAAAAAAACAGTAAGAAAAATTATATATATGAGCATGTTTCATACAAAACTTCTAAGTCCTTCTAGTTATAGGATTCGATCAAAAAAAAGTCACCAACATAAATGGCCCTTACTCATGACAGAAGTAATACTGAAAAAGTACACAGCATCAAAACTTATTCTTTCCACTGTAAATACCAGCAATGGATATTATACATCATGGTTAATATAAACGTAATCTCAAAGGAACTTAGAGTTAGTTGCACAAAAGACAATAAACTGAAAATGTATCTGATATGCAAGGTAATTATTGTTATTAAATTGCATAAAAAGTTATACCTGTGTTTTCAGAGTTCTTTCAGTGTTAATGCTCTTCTCATAATGCATTCTAATATTATTGATTTCCTCCTCTTTTTTCATTTTGTATTCTGTTAAAATAATATTCAACTTTGAGATATTTAGGACAAGGTAAATATTTCTAAGCTTAATCACTTCTACAATTGCATCTGGTTCCCCCTCCCATTTTCTTGTTGTGTCACTTAAATGTGCAAAATACAGTTTGCAATGATAAAGGTCACTGGTTTAATGCTACTGTCATGACAGAAAAGTACCTGAAGGATATATCAGAAAGGCACCAAGATTAAATACTAAAGCCAACATACATATTTTTGTTTCCTGGTGATGACTAAGTTTGTTATCCCACTTCCTCTGTGTTTGCACTACCAGAAGTGTTTCTACAGTACCAAAAATTATTGTCAATACCCACACAGAATACGACTGATATGACTGGACTCACATTCAGTACAGATTCTCAAATCAGGCATAAAGAGAACATGGGGAAAAAGGCTTTCTTTAAATGAGGAATGACTCTGTTACATTCCCTCCATCCCTCTCACGCACCAGTTACTCAATTCTACCAATCTTTCCATCACGCCTCCAAGTCTGCCGATTTGTTCCCAAAGTTTCTAAAAGTATGCATTTCACTGATTTCTCCACCAAAACTACAAACAGTTAAAGAACATATTTCAAGTACTTAAAAGTAACAAACTCCATAAACTAAAAAATACTGAAAACTTCTTGCTTACTCAATCCCTGCTATTACACAAATGCAGAACTAAGGGAAAATATTTTTGTGTGCCTTCCTGCCTACATAGTGTTTGCAACAACACGGGCAACACAACCAACAAGGCCTTTACTCTCATAGTCAACAGATACTAAAGCATGCATTCCAATTTTATAATGCTTGCTCAAATGCAAAACCATGGGAGAAAACTGAACAATAAAGTAACTTCCCACATAGTCAGAATGCATGTAAATAGAATGCCAATCCACTGGTGTGCATGACATCACAATTTTGATTCTGAATCTAAATGAGATGTTACGGAAGTTGAAATACTGATATTGCTTTATTGTTAATACTGGAGATAGAAACAAAAACTTTAAGAAATACATTGTGTGCAATATGAAATGAGTAAAATACTTTTTGTATGCGCACAAGGGCATGGCTGCCAGAAGGGGGTTAGACAGACAATATACAGAGGAGCTGTACTGGACCAGCATTCCTGACTATGCCTGCAGGAACTTACTGCCAAGTTGTTTTAAAACAAGTGAGGAGGGACTGTGAGCAGAAACTCACTTTTTCCTACCTGCTACAGCTGAGAATTTAATCAACAATACATGCAGTGCATGGAAATAGAAGCAATACCATAGAAAGAGTGGCACTTTACATGGAAAATATATTTGCAAGATGAAAACACTGACTTATTTTTTCATCAAGCCCAAAATAATAGGGAAGATAAGCAGCAATGTCTTCTCCCATTTCCATTTTCCACATACGCTTCAAATTCAATTGTGCTTCATAACAGATGAATTAAATCTCCAAAACATGACGTACCTTCCTCCTGTTTCTTAATTTTTTCACCGATCTCTGAGTTTTCTTTTGTTATTAAATCAACATCTTTGGTTAATGTGCTATTCGTTTCTTCCAGCTAAATGAAAACAAACACATTTTAAAATAAAGAACTTGCCATAAATTCTAAAAATATTTATAATACTATTATTTTAAATACCCTTAAGTCTAAAATAGCCATTTACTTGAAACGCCTTCCTCAGATTATATACAAAATATATGCTTACCTTTCAAACCTGAATTTTTTAAAAATGGTACTTTTATAATTAAAAACTCAACTTAAGCATAATTAGATTGTCAGCTATTGAAAGTGGCAATTTTTTTATTAATCTGTGGTACTTTGGAAGAAGTAGTACCTAGAGGCCTGATCCCTGGAATCCAGAGAAAAAAGCAGCTGATTGATGATACAACTCCAGCATTCAAGGCTAGAGCAGATTCATGGCATCTGCTGCTAAATATTTGTCATATATCAGGAAAACCAGCATCAAAATTAAATTTGGTCTAAATCAAAGCATACATAGATAAACATGTACATAGGTTTGGGGGGCGGGGGGCGGGGGGGAAGTAAAACCATTGCAGTTTAAATATGTTCGCTGCAAGAAGATAGAGTCAGGATCACTTTGCTAACAACTTAACAAATACATATTAAAAACCAGACATGACTGCATTCCTGAAAAAGGTTTTGTTTAAAGCCTATAGAAATGATTGCTATCAAGCTGTCTGACAAAATAATCAAAATATTTGAAACCAACAAACATATTGGCAAGAAGGTATTCCTTCCACGTCATAGAGAGACAGTCTTCTCAATGCTTCTTAAGAAATGGTGGCATTCTGGAGCTTTCAAACTTAGAGAAGAAAATATGCATAACGAACGCTACTTCTGCTTTCTTTACACAGAGTTGTAATATCCATGGTAGCGCTAACAGAAAGCCCTGAGCAATTGATCCAAGTTCAGTTATGCCTAGAGTTTTACTGAAGTTTTACACCCCCAGGGTTCTTACGAAAATCTGCATAGCTGATGCTAAATGGGAAAACCAGTAATGATAAAATAACTATGATACATTTGGCTTGTTATTTGAAACTTCTCACTTAAGACAGTTATTAACCTGATACTAATACTGAAGAACTAAGCTATAAAATATCTTCAAAAATTACAGTTTGGGGGTTGGTTTTGTTAAACCTATTTTAAAATAGTTAACCAGCAGGAAGAAACTCAAGACCTCCAAGTTGTGGGTTTTTTTAACAGACTAAATAATTTTGCAGTAAGAGTCTCTAAAACACAGCTCCACAAATTTACAAGATTCTAAAAATACATTGGGCAGTGACAAGAAGTAATTACAAAAGGCTAAATAACTGAATTATAGATGTTTGCTGGACTTTCAATCTGGGTTCACCTCAGATTCATCGAGTCTATGTTTGTGAGTTCACATGATGGGATTTAAATGTTTAATGTTCCAACTGACTCCAAAACTCAGATACTTAAATAATTATTACTTATGACCACAACAAAACTTTATAAATTAAAATAAAAAGATAAATTTCTGTTTCCAGCTGAAGGATATATATACATAGGTATCAATTACAGTAGAATAACTTACCCTTCTTATGATGCTGTCTTTATCAGTCATTTCTTGCCTGTGTCTTGATGCTGCTTTTTTGCTTTCCTGACTTAGTTCAAAATACTGTTCTTCAAGGAGTGCTCGTGCCAATCGTTCCGACTCAGCTTTGGTTTCAGCTAAATCCAACTGGGTAGTGAGTGTTTCTCTGTAAAAAGGACATTAAGATTTTGTTCTCCTATGCAAAGCATTCCAAATTTTCAGGAAGACTAACAAACCCAAATGATACCATTCGGCTAATTATGATTACCTTAGTTCCTTAAAAAACCCAGGATTTACAAACCACAACTCTGTACACTTGTACCTTTTAACAGTCCACACAACCTGCAGTAGCAAGCTTACTATAATTCAATTAAAATTTCAATCATCCATGAAACACCAACCCTTAGGAAAACAGGTGTCAAATTCTCCTGCCTTCAAGGAATAAAAAATAAAATAAATTGCATGTACAGTGTGGTCCATCAAAAGATAGTTAACCCTATCAGTTTTAGCTACTTCTTCACACAAGATTACTGCTCATGAAGATGTGTGCTCCAAACTTTTTGAACAATAAGGAAAATTGCATAAATTTTCTGAAAACATACAGTGGTTTTATGCCTACACAATTTGTTGCAGAAAGGTTTGCAAATTCTATCTACCCCTCCTCCCTCTTTTTGTTTTAAGTCAGATACTACTCCTGAACAACTTTGTATAGACAGGTATTTTCCTCCTACATCATATTTATTAGCCCAACATCTTCTCTTTCTCCTTTTATTAGCCCACCTAAGGCTACAGTCTCCTCTTCCAGAATAAATATTTATTACATCAATTAATAAATTGGAAAAACAAGCTTGAAAAACTTCTTTATTTACTAACTTAGAAAATAGTACATCATAGTTAATGGTGTTTGGATTAACTGGTTTTGCTGTAATCAGAAGTATACTAAACTTAGAATTCAAAGTATTTTCATTATCTTTTTCTCAAGTTATTTTATTGGCCATAGAAATATATCAAGTAATTATGAGGATAATATAATAAAATAAAGTTGTTATACAAGCAAGGTGATTACCACAAATTGTAATGTTTTTTCAAATTTTGCATCTTCCTAAATTCTGAGAAGTCATTGTTCTTCTTCCAGACATTACAGAGTTCAAAGCAAGTATGAATAACCATATTTGGCTCTGAGTCAGTACAGGCAACATTCTATGTATTTGCCATCTTACTAGTGTTACAAAACACTTTTGAGATCTGTCTTTTTCTGAAGGAATTAAACATTTTAAATCGGATTCAAAATCTTAATGAGTGAGACCATATTATATGGAAAAACTTATGTCTATTTGAGAAACATAATGGGCATACTTTTCATTTTGCAATTCCTGCATTTTTCTTTGAGTTTCTTTATTCTTATCATCAATTTCTTCTTTCAGTTCCTTAACTTGAGTTTTGTAAAGTGTCTGTAAAAGAAATCATAAAAAAAAAATCATTATTCAAATTCCACAGTGAAATTCTTCATTGTTTTGGTACTGGTCGGTTTGAATCTGTCAAACCACAACACAGGGCAATACTGTCTTTAATAGAATTTCCTCCTTCCTGCCTGTCATAGATGCTCCTTTCCAGCTTCCCTTATGTAGGGAAGCATTGTGACCAGGTTAGTTTTCAATTTTCTAGTCTGGTTTCCTACACAGTTGTATAAATACACCTGCTGACAAAAGGGAAGGGCAGAGGACACAGCTGAGCAGGTCTCTTGGAGACAACAGGACAGAACTGCATCTGCTTGTAGTATCACTGTCTCAAAACGTTAGTCAAACAAGCTTAATACTGTTCTATGCTTCCACCTGTTGTATTCTGTTTGTATCCATGTATCTTTTCTCTTAGACACTAAGTTTTTTGTGTACAGACTGACTTTGTTTTAATAACTAATTCAACAGAGGCCTGATTTACGTGAATGACTTCTGTTCTTAATTCCTATATTAAGACCACCAGTAGTTCTGAAAGTTAGAAACTGATCTTCTACAGTAAAGTAATTTTGCCAAATATTCAGACTGAATTACAAATGTCTCATTTAAACTACACGGTAGTAAAAAAAGACAAAACTGAGAATGAAAGACAATATTCTGGATCTTCTTATTAGCAGTACATTATGGAGAAATACACAAAGATCTGTAACACATAATGAAATTATAATCATATGTAGTTTAGTAAACACAAAAATTTTTATTACCCTGCCAAGAAAGAACGGAATTTACAAAGTACTTCCCAAAGTGAAATGGAACTGTCCATATTCACAAATGTATTTGAAGTTCAGGCATTACAGACCATCTCATGCTGCTGTTTCTTTTCACAGAAAGGAAACAGATCCAACCAGATCTATGAAATGCACATTTTACACTCCTTGGAGTACCAAATACGACTCTTCAGGGACTCAGGTGCAGAGAAAGTATCTTTTCAGAAGGATGAGGGATATGTGCAGAATGCTACTGGATCTATAGTTCTTAAATATACTTATGGTAGATCAATAGCATAGAATATATTCCAGTAAGTATGGAGATTTTGAACCCTTGACAAAGTGTGCAATTATGTCAGAAAAAGATCTCTTTTCCAACCTCAAGATAGGAACCACTCTGATGAAAAATTCAGAGTTACTCAATGTACTGTATAAGATTTGACAAATGACTACAAAGCAACATATTAGACTATATAATGTTCTCTAGTTTTTTGTCCATTGTTTGTATTTCAAGCTGAATTTTGTGAATTGTTGATTTATGCCAGGTTGTTACTTACATTTAAAAATTTTTAATAGGTCAAAATATTCACTGTTCAACGATTTCATGTCAAAGACTTTGCAAGCCTTACCGAAAAATACTGCTCAGCTTCAAGTTGATCCTGAAGCTCACGCATTTGACCTTCATTTCCTCTGTACTGTCTTTGAAGGAATAAAAAAGGAAAACAATAAAAAGTCAGCTACTAACAAATGACAAAGACTGACTATTTCTAACCAGAACAGCATCCTGCAAAGATCTTACATTTGCACACATTATTTCACAAAGACCAACAGCTGTATCCTAAGATTCTGATTTCATTACATTCCTTAGTCTACCCTGATGATCATTTCAGTACATAATTTAGAAGACAAGAAGTACTCTAAAGGGAGAAATGTTAAGTCAGCTGAAGGAAGATAAGATAGAAGCCTAATTAATGAAAAATGTCTTCAGGCAGCTTAAGAAATGTTAAAAAGAAGAATCAGGTAGTTGAAGGGGAAAAAAGCTTTTGACTCCCATGTACTAAAACTAAAAGTCTCGTGTGATTTAATGAGTAGTATCACAGTCAATCCATAAAGAAGTCACTCAAATAAAAGTGACAAATATATATATATGCCTTGACAGAGAATGATGAGTCAAGAATTGCTCTGCATCATAGCTCATAACAAAAATAGTCCAACATGGAAGGCTACATTCAGAAATCATAACATGCAGCTAAAAATATTCTTTTAGTTTAGGAAAAAAATGCCTATGCACCAGAGAACTTTTTTCACTAATAGGAGCTGGCAAAACAGTACATTTATAAATTAAGCAACTTTTTCCATTTTACTTCAGATTTTTACTTACTTAGCAAGTTGAGCCAACTCAAATTCCAGTAATCTCTTTGCTTCCAACAACGTATTGATTTCCTGTTTCAGCTGCTTCTCAGAACCCTTCAAGTTATCTGCTTCAAAAGCTTGCGCCTTTAATTCATTCTGTGCCATTATTCGCTTATTTGTCTCTTGTTCTAGCTGAAGTGTTAGATTCTTTACCTAAACGAGAAATATTTCAATTTAGGAGCATTTTGTGAATAATGAATTGCATGTGGTTGAAAGTGTTTCATATATGGATTATTTTATATCAAACACCATTGCCTAGATGCTACACATTGTACAATGTGTAAAAATATTCCTAAGTCTCCAAACACTTCAGTGCAATGATCTTATAGAAAGCTGCTGCCCTTAGAGAACATACCGATATGACACTGCAGGGTGATAAAGCTTCCCCGTACTTAGCTTGCTATTTCAAAGACCCAAATGTGTTTTATCTTATTGTAAAGGCAACAATGGAAGAAATTGTCTGTGGAAAGGTCCTGCAAATCCCTCTGTGGATTTCAGACCTTAAAAACTTCTCACCCTACAAAAAACTGCAGCCAACCAGCTATATAAAAACTAATTTACACAAGTCATGACCCCTAAGAAGGTCTCATAACCTTCATTCCCAGTGTCCTGTAAAGAAAACATAAGGATGAAACTATTATTCTTAGTACTTAATTTTCACACTCAATATTCTAATTGCATTTCCTTAAACAAATGCTTTTCTGGAGAATGCAAACTCAGAACTGCAAACCAATCACACTTCAGCGTCAAATTCACAAGCAAGTTTTTCCTTTAAAAAAAGAAAAGGAAACAAAAAACATTGCATTACATTAAATAAAGGGTTCAAATATGTAAGGCATCCAAGAGCTAAGAAACAAGCAGAAATTACCTAACACTATTTAGGCCAACAACTGTCTTCAGTTCTACTGAGAGGTGTATTATACAAGGAGCTCAGTGTAAGTGAATTTATTTTCCTATTTCTCAATGCAACAGTAATTTCTTATTTATACAGAAAATTGTGAGTGATGAACATTTTACTTACTTCATCTTCCAGTCTTTCCTTTTGCTCAAGAAGGTGTTCCAGTTTCTGCTGAGATTGCTTCAGGTCAAAGTCCAGCATGGAACACTGTTTTTCAGCTTGAACTATTTGATTTTCTGCCTTTTCTCTTGCTGCCCTTTCTTCCTTTACTTTTTTTTCCATTTCTAAACAAGATTCAAGAAAGAACAACAACAAAAAATGAGTAACGTACATTTTGCAAGAATGCATTTGTAAACACAGTCTTAAATATCCTACTATTTTTCAGACCCTTTTGTTCAGCTATTTAAGCTCTTCTGCTGTTAGATGGATTGATTACTGAGCAAAAGCTTCCTGGCATTATTACAAGAAACACGAAAAAATAAACCTAATTCCAATTTGCATTCAAAGCACTGGAATATTATCATGACAACTGAAAGATAGTGAAAGACATAAAAAAAAAGCAGATTCTTGAAGCAATCATTATGAAATAAAGGCAAAGATTCAGGCATAGTTGAGGGAAAGAAAATAAATACTACCATTCATGTTAGCTTTCTGAGAAGTTACCAAGTACACATGCAGGTACTGGTCACCTTCACAAAGAAAACCTGCTGTATTCAATTAACGTATCAAGACATCTTGGATTCATGGATATGTATCTATAGAAGAAACTTTAACACTTCAGACAAGCCTAATACAACACTGATATTTTTAATGCAGTTACATGGGAATGAATGCTCCAAGATATCTGTCTTGATAATGGATTCTTTCAATTCCGTTTCACATTACCCAGAATTTCAAGATTCAATAGCATTTTAGAAACTAAGGAAGGCTTTGAATTGCAAATGCAGTAAGGTATTCAAAACATTAAGAAACAATGCCGTTTTTATGGTACAAGTACCATGTTAGAGAAAATAATTTTAAAAGTGTATTTTTCATTATGCCTGTTTTAAAATTTTGATATGCATTTTCTTTATACAAGGGATTAAGCACTTTTATAAGAGTACTGCATTATAAGACATCAATCAAAATACCTTTTAGTATGTATTTACCTGAAACTTGCAAGAAACACTTACCACACATTGCAACTGATCTTGCCTCCTCTATTGACTGATGTTTGTCAGTTAATCGAGCTTTAGTCACTTTGTGTTCATTTACTTCCTGTTCTAACCGGTCTTGTAATGATTTGAGTTTGTAGTTCAAATCTATCTCTAAATTATTCTTTTCCTAAAGATAAAGGAAAAAAGTTAACAGATTTCTACAATATTTCTGTAATGTCTGAAGGAATCACATTTCCTTTCTTCCCTTTTTTAGAGTTAACTTTTTGTGATGAAGACATTATCGATGTTATTTTCCATGCTTAATAAAGAATGGTAACAGACAAAAACTGTACTCAGTGCTCTGGAGAAAACGTCATTAACTTTTTTCAATAGTCTATAAACTCACAAGATAATGGAAACTTCTCAGTTTGAATAATTAGCAGCCACCTAAACTGGAAACATACAACTAATCCACCAACAACACTAGAGCACAGAGGAATTTGAAATAGTTACCTGGATGCAATTCTGTTATTTCATTGTTGGGATTGCCAGCCATTAACAGTAACTCAACAAACAAGCACTGGAGATGAACTTTGAGAGAGAGGGCCTTGCCTTTGGATCGCGGCTTCACATAAAACCAAATGAGAACAGTAACTGCTTGCACCTTTCCTCATAGGTAGTCATAGCTGTCTGGTTTATTTGGATAGACCATACAGCACAGCAAGTATTTACCTGACCTCAAAACACTGAGCTAACTATATAGCCTGCCTGGAAAAAGGTGTAGGATTTCCTCTTACTCTTCTTTACTTGTTTCTCCATCTTGGGGTGGGGATCAGAGGAGGGAGAGGGAGACGGAAGAAAGAAAATTGAGACTGTTCAGCTCCAAAGTTGATCAAAAGGTCTGGCACTGATCCAGCCAAATTAAAATCCAGTAGAAGCAGTTATTTAAATTTCAGGGTTTTAAAAAGTTCAGTTCATAGATTTTCAGGAGGCAAGTTTCTGCAGTGAGTTTAGAAGGCAGAACAAAAATTACTTGCTACTGGCGGAAGGGCTGGATCCTTGAATCAGTGATAGTGAATGACAAACATGAATGTTGTGCCCAAAGCTACAAATAAGAACTACCTGAGGACTCGTGAGACTTACCATCCTTATGAGACTGTACGAGCACCATTTAGTTAATCATTTTAACACAAGACTGAATTAGACCAAGAACACAGGACTTAGCAACATCAAATACTATTTGAAAATACAGTCAAAAGCTGACAAAGAACATTAGCCTCAATGTCATTTACCATACCTTTTCTGAATGATTAAGCATATCTTGTGCTTGTTTTCTTTCTGCTTCCACTCTTTCAAGATTGTTTTTAACGTGTTTTACTTCATCTTGTAAAGTTGTAATCCGAACTGCCATAAAAAATGAAGCATCATTCGATATTCGTTACTCAACTTAGATCAATAAGCTTTTCAACCTCTATTGATTTCTGCGCCCCTACAATATTTACACCTTCAAATTTTTCAGATACACAAAGGCTGGACATTGTAAAGGAAATTGATATTTTCAGCTGCTCCATATGCATGCCATTAGTAATAATTCACAAAAAACAATCGCATGCAAAACTTGGTACCTGCCTTCCATCACTCCCAATATCTAATACGCAAAATTTCTTCCACTAATCCAAGTTCTGCTGTGCTACGCAGCACACACCTTTTCTGGTGTTAACTCCACTAATATGTAGATAAGGCACATTACACAGAAAGTCAATCTCAAATGGATCTACAGATACTAATACAGTATGCATTCACCTAACTGTGACTCAAGTGCTCTGCCATGCATAGAGGAACTATGCCCCATCCCCTACAGCACCTACCACAAGACCCTGTGTGGCACTGAAAGTTTATACTAAATACTAAGTAGAATCACAGAACAGTTTGGGTTGGAAGGGACCTTTAAAGACCATTTAGTTCCAACCCCCCCTTCCATGGGCAGGGACATCCTCCACTAGACCAGGTTGCCCAAAACCCCATCCAACCTGGCCTTGAACATTTCCAGGGATGGACCATCCACAACTTCTCTGGGAAACCTGTTCAGTGCCTCACCACCCTCACTGTAAAAAATTTCTTCCCTATATCTAATGTAAATCTACTTTATTTCAGTTTGAAACCATTACCCCTTGTCCTGTCACTACAAGCCCTGGTAAAAAGTGTCTCTCCATCTTTCTTATAAGCCCCCTTTAAGCATTGAAAAGCCACAATAAGGTCTCCCTCAAAGCCATAGTAGTAGTGGTGGTGTGTGTATTTCTGTATCTGCATGCCAAAGTAGAAACATACATATATATATAAGCTGAAGTAGTACTATACATTTCTAGACTGAAGAATTTGTCTAGAATTAGACAAATTAGCTCCTTTTAAATAAATAAATAATTTGGGTTACTCTATATGACACTTAATACCTTAAATACAGTATACAAAAATATACCTATCAATTCAAATACATCTGTCTCCAGTACAGTCCACTTAATTTTAAGTATAAAGAGACATCCTGGCAATATATAAGAAACTATGAGATGAAAGAAGAGAAAGACTTATTAAATCTTATGATTTCCTCATTCATTTTAAATGTGCTTTTTAAAACAGCTGAATAAGGTTTTGAATTACATAAAGCTATTTGGGTATACAGCAGCAAAGCACCTTAACCCTACACCCTTCAGAAAAAAATCCTCTTCCAGCAGGCTGCTGAATTGGATGTGGTCAAAAACATTCTGAAGTGCACAGAATAACCTTCTCGTGCCTTTTGTACCTCCCGCTTGCAATTAACAACAGACTGGATCAAACTACAACTCAGTCATTTCAGAGGAACTTTACAACCATTCAACTGAAATTGATTTACTATATTTGAAGCACAATAAACAGGCAACTTGATTCTTAATAGCTCTTTGTGCTAGCAAAGTTTACCTTAAAAAAACCAAAACCACCCAAAAGTCCTCAACAAAAGATTGTGCTTCATGGAAAATTATTTTCAATACTGCAGACAGAAGATTTAAAATGGCAAATTAAGAGCCAGGATCCATTAGCACAGGCACAGTCATGAACTAATGTATCTGAACAGTTTCTTGTGTGAAGAATCAAATGGTAAAAAGTTCCAAGCATCCTGACAAAAGGGATTCCACACCTGCATCCCTTACTATGCTCTTCATCTCGCTTATGAAGTAATGTAGAAGCATCATAAAAGAAAACAAACACAATTTAACAACATAATAGCTTTCTCTGCAAATTAAAGAAAGTGCAGGGTACATCAACTTGGCCACAGCACCAAGGCAGTTAAGACAGAGTGTTGTGTCTTCTCTAGCACTGTATCAGCTTTTCATATTTTTGTACTACTGGACTCAGACTTTTAATCAGGGCAGCCCCACAGACTGACAATCAGTGGTTTCCCACTCTTCAATTTTGATAGCCTCCCTCCCAATAGATGGTCAGACATGATCAGGAAGCAAGATCCAGTCTTCAGAAACTGTTCTAAGTCACGCTGGGTTTGCAGGTTGGCTTTCCTCCCTTTATGTAACTGTACTTTATTTAAAAAAAGTAGGGTTATCACAACTTTTTGGTAAAGTATAAATACAGAAGAATTACCCTGTAGTTCTCCAATCATTTCAGATCCATGACTTCTGTCCCTTCGTTCCGACTCCAAAGCTGCTTGCAGTTGGTAATAATCCTTCTCCACCTGCAGTTTTGTGCTTTCTAGAACTCTGCACCTTTCCTGCAGTTCTCTGTTCAGTGATTCCACCTGACTTAATGACTTGCTCATTTCTGTATTACCCTTTCTTAGCCTTGCTGCTGTATCAGATTCCGTCCTCAGCAAATCATTTGCTTCTTCTAGCTGTTAAAATAAAACAGACAAGATTTGCAAGTATAAAAATTATTGTGACCACTTTTGTTATATCTGAATGGTCAATACTACTTCTCAAATCTAAGAAATAATGAAGACAATGAACAGAAGCAACATACTTGTTTTTGTAATTGTGTTATCTTCTCATTTGTCATTTGTGAATGCTGACTGATTTTTTTCAAGTCTTCCATCTGATCTTTTAGTGTGGACACTAAAGAGAAATTATACCATTAATACATCAGATTAAAAAAGCCTCAGTGTTCTATTTATTTATTTTACACAGATACACTCAAATAAATTCTTGGCATATAAGAGAATTTTTGTTGACTTTTGGCTTCTCATATACATTTTAAGGTCACATTCTGTGCTTGCAAAACAACAGTGCAGACTGTAGAGAACAGAATTTGAAAATAAAATAAAAATATTGTGTTCTCATTAAAATTCAAATAAAAATAAACTCAAAATTTGTGTTCATTATTTGAAAAGGTCCCTTTAAAGTTGTGTAGTACTTAAGATGCTAAGGTAGTAAATTATTCCCCGAAAGAGATCATATACCTCATCAGTGTCAACGTTTGGACAACACGGCATACCTTCATTTTCAACATTCCGTCTTTTTTCATTTTCTTGTTCAATTTTTCTTTGGTAGTCATTTATCTTATGTTGCAATACCATCTTTTCCTTCTCAATCTGAGAAACTGTTGATTCCAAGTTCTTTCTTTGATTTCCCTAAAATTAAAAGCATTGGTAATTTCTATTTACAATTTAAGGACTGATCCCTAAACCAGTAACTCTCCAACAAATTAATCAAGGAAACTGATGCATTACTTTCAATGAATGAATTTCTGGCTTCAGAAACTGGTTTTCAGAAAACATGGCACTTTAACTTCTACATGACAAATTTATTAAATTACTAGAAAAGTTTTCATTAATGTGATTGCATGTAAGTAACTATTAAAATTATTAAGAGACAACATAAGGACTTAATAGAAAGTCATCTGTACATTAATTTTTAGAGTAACGATTTTGATAAACTCTAGAGAAATTGCAGTAAGCAAGACTAAGCAAAACATTTAGCAGAGGAAACCAAATTCAGCATGACTTGCAGAAAGAAAGGTTTTGAAAATGTGTAAAAATAAAAATTTATCTCCCAATGCTACATATTGAAATGTGATGGTTTAGTCTCAAATTTAAACTCAGAACATTTTTTTAGCCACAGAAGAAATATCCTAAATCATGAAAGTACTACCCACATTCTTTACCCAACTAAGAAGGCTTCAGTGAGGAAAAAAATTACCTCTTCATCCAGTTCTTTCATTATCTTGTCTAGCTTTATGTTTGAAGATCTAAAAATAAAATAAAATCATTTTAGTAATATATGACATGGATACATTACACAGTGTTTTTCTAGTGAAATAATTTGAGACCCTTACTAAAGTGATCATTTATATTCTGGCTAATGCTATTTTGTAATAAGCATTTGAAAATGAGGGAAACAATAAATCATTGGAAATAATCTGTACAATAGATTATTAAGTATTTATCAACTTTGCTGCAGATTATATAAGCAAAACTTTAGATGCCACATTTTCTCCCTTAATCTGCAAATGTAAAAGCAGTGTATGTACAAACAGACTACCATTAAAATTAGAATACCCTGGTGAACTGCTAAAACTTCCTCTAGTTGTGAACTTTCCAAATATCTAAAATGATTCATTAATTCAACAGTACACATGTCCCTACTATGGATAAAGATAGTGGAATAATGTTATTTAAAAGTTTCCCTGCTGAAGCAATGTATTAGAACATAGTACTACAGAGAGTGTGAGGTTAAGCGCATAGTAAAACGTCATTTAACTGGCAATGACACTGACACATTCATTGCAGTTTTGTAGCTAGCTGTTCCTCTTCTAAGAGATAACAAAAAGGACCCAGGCAATGTTACCTGGCAGGTACAATAAGGAGCAGTTACAGCCATATAGCCTATCTACTAACTCAGCAGTAAATGCTATGACATATCAGAAGACACGCTGTTGTGCCCTGACAACTTCAGTAGTACTGTAGGAAGACAGTCACTGAATATTTTTCATGCAATGTACATCCTGCCTGTGGAAAGCAATCAGAACATAAAGTTGTGTTGAAGTACGCAACAGCGTCACACAGTCTAAATTCCCACCAGACCATTTTGGCTACCAGTTCCCACATAAGTGGCTTGTATAGCTACACTATGGTCCTAATTCACAAGCCTAAATTCTTCCTATATCCTATACCTAGTGTTGCCTCCTGGCTTTATTTAAGCTTTCTGAACAAGACTTCAAAAGGAGAAGCTAACTGAAGAGGAATTTAGTTTGCATTAACCTGAGTAAAAATTTCTGATTATCAGAAAAGAAGAATCCCAACTGCTTGTTCCTAAGCATAGGTGCAAGAAATAGGCAAATTCTCATGTAGCTACTTCTTCAACATGGTAGAAACAAGACTTTAGAAAGCAAATAGTTGTTCTTCTATCAGTCACAGGAAAAAAAAAAAAAATGTGGTTTTCCAAAGAGTACCACGTATCTAGGCACGAGACAGTTAATTTTAATAATCCAATATGTGACATATATATATAGTATTTTACGTTTTTAAAAAAATCAGCGTGATCATTGCGAACCTCGGTCTGATAAAACATCTGAATTCAGAGGTACCGGGTAAATTCAAATATTTAAGCGTTCAGCAAGAGTATGTGTTACATGGATGCCAAATAAAACAAAACATTTTCTTCATACTATATTAAAGAAAACCATTTAAATATTGTTTTAGAATTACTTAAACCTGTGCCTGGAACTCCCTGCTACAGTACCATTCTTAGTGTTATGCTGGTAATCCCTAAAACAGTAACACAGAACTGAAGTGTTAGATGTATTTAAATTATGTAAACAATTAAAGTTCAAAGTCTCACCTGCATTTTTGCTCCATTTCATCTTTCAACTGCATTTCATTATGTAGTTGTTCTTCCAACTCGTAGATCATCTTCTGCATATTTTCCAGCTTTAAATATGTATTTGTACATGAAAAAACATGCATTAAATTTAAAGATTTCAAAAAAGTATTTCAGAATATTCAGGGCTGCTTATGTTGTATCACAGCTTACTCATTTCTATCCAAACAGTACATTTTTATCTTACTAAAATATGATAAAAAAAATATCTAAAAGTTAATGACAAGAAACAACTTTAATATTATGCAGTTTTATCATTTGAATGCACATCAAATTTTAGGGTTCTGAATAGTTCCATCAAAATTAATAGGGCTAAGTCAAATCCTCGTTTATAAGTATCTTCAGAATCAGACTAAAGATAGTATTGCAAAGATATAAGAAAGCATTTTAGTCTCAAAATTTCTTTTTCTAGCATAAACCACCACATGTATTTTGGAATGCATCTTCAAGCTCTCAACAAGTTCAGGAAGCGGAACCAGGCCTGTCAGTTATTAGCAATGGGGGAAAAATGCTCTTAATGTCTATTTAGTCAGAGATAATTTTTACAGCTAGTACTGTACTAAGGTTTGAAAATAGTAACAAAATTCAGATGTTAATCAGAACAGTACGGTATAGCCTGTACCGTTTGCCAGCAAGATAAATTCAGAAAATCATTCTTTTCACGTAGCCTGAGAATATCTACCTTTTACTGCATCTCTGGACACAATAATTCCACTCCAATATCAGGAAAATCCTCACTTAACAAGATGGTGTCAACTTTGAGGAAGCTCATTAAGTCAAGCCCATGCCAATTCACTCTTTTAAACCTTTTCACTGATCTTGTCATGATTTCAGCCTTATTTAGCTTTCCCACATTTCCCTCAACACTCTTGGAACTACATAGAGAAGAATTACAGTCCTAACCTAGACTCTCTTCAAAGCAAGGTGTTCAAGTGGTTCTGACCCTTTGCTTTCTTATTCCTTGTTCTAACTTCAAAAAAACTCTGACAATTAACCTGACTCCTTTTGCACAATCATCCCAGAAAAAGGAGCAATGGAACACTTCCTCCTACATCTGCCTCTTCCTTTTCACCTTTTCCCACAAAACATACTTAGAGAAACTAGAACTGCTCACTGAGATCATGAAAAAGAGACAAATTAGGCTTGTCTCCTTTCTTGATAGCAACAGTAAGGGTTCTCAGCAAAGACTGCCCTCTGTACAGTCCTAAACTAAGATTTCAGTTTGGAGACATATTATAGCACGCTTTATCCATATTAAATGAGAAAGTTACAGGTGAGATTATTTTTGCCTACTTCCAGGCAGGCATTTCTCTTACTTCCTACTTTCAATTTCTTCTCCTTCCCACTGTAGTAAGGAAATAAAGCATGGAGCACTGAGGTGCTCTCAAGAACTGGAGATCCTTTCTCATTTTCTTCTTTATCTTTCTTCCACATTCTTAAGCTGCTCTGAAGTTTTCAGAGGAGTCATGATGACCGGGGACTAAGCTGAAACTACATATTTTTATATATTCACCACTCTATTCTATATATTTACCACTACCTCTCACGAAGCCTTGAGAGAGCAAGGAAATATTGGAAGAAATAGACTGCTTAGCACTTAAAGAACAGCTCTTGAAAACCAATTACTGGTGTGACATACAACATAACCCCATGTGGATGAGACAATGGTTGTAGTCAAAAACCACAAAGATGGCCTTTAAATCAAAACTTTGAGGAGAAAGGAAGGAGGACTAGCACACAACACATTTATCTCCTTGGTATGAACCACTGAGAAATCAAGAAGTAAGACTATTTAAAGGCTAGCTCTCACTTCAGTAAAAAGGGACCACAGCTAATGCACAAAAATAAAGGATAAAGAAGTTTCAACATAATTCTTCTTCCATTTCTTGGTTACTCATTTTATAGCCCTTCCAGACAGGCTGCACAAAGGACTTAAATGAGATGGATGATGAACAGGTTCCAAAAAGATATCTGGCAACGGAGGCATTTCTGTACTGTTTCCTACTAGTTTGGACCTCTACTGCGTCCTCTTGCTTATTTCTGTTTCTCAATGCTTTATAACGCTGTACACAAGGGGCCTAAGTTTGCTCAGCAATCTAATTACTTTCATGCGAGTGGCCTGGTTTTGGCTGAGATACAGTCAATCTTTTTTCTAGTAGCTGATATAGTGCTGTGTTTTGGATTTAGGATGAGAACAATGTTGATAACACACTGATTTTTTAGTTGTTGCCAAGCAGTCAAGGACTTCTCAGCTTCTCATACTGCCCTGCCAACAAGAAGGTGGGGCGTGCCCAAGAAGGTAGGAGGGGACACAGCCAGGACAGCTGACCCAGACTTGTTAAAGGGATATTCCATACCATATGATGTCATGCTCAGTATATAACTGGGGGGTGGGCCAGGAGGTGGTTCAGCTCAAGAACTAGCTGAGCATCAGCTTCAGGTGGTGAGCAATTGTGCTGTGCATTACTTGCTTTGTATATCCTTTTATCATTGCTGCTGTTATTATTATTGTCTTCCTTTTCTGTCCTATTAAACTGTCTTTATCTCAACCCACAAGTTTTACCTTTTTTGTCTTTTCAATTCTCTCTCCCTTCCCACTGGATGGGCAGGGAGTGAGCAAACAGCTGTGTGGTTGTTTTAGCTGCTGGCCAGGTTAAACCACAACAACGAGGCAACAGGCTTCCAGAGAAGTTTTGCACAATCTGATATCAATAATACCTTAAGAAAATCCTGAGTTACAATTAACTCAGTATAAAAGCTATTCCTTTATGTTTCAGTTTGTTCTTAGTTTCCATTCTGAGTAGGAGGCAGGAGAGGAAAGGAATATGGAAAAGCCTGCCTAGAGCAAAGTAGCCAAGAAAAATCCCTCTGGAACTGCCATACTTCCCCCCCTTCCTCTCTCCCTACCCCTAAATCACCATGGCATCTGGTTCTGCACCCTGAACCATGAAGAAAAACAAAATCTGTTAATTTCCTCTTTCTTAATACCTGAACTGTTTACAGGTGGTTATGGTAGCACTAAACAAAAGTAAATAATCAGATCTTCAAAGGGTTTTGAAATTCAGTTAAAGGACACTGAATTCCATTTTTCACCAGCTTCATGGCCTAATTCTGTTTTACACACTTGCAAAATACAATTAATTTATTGGAGATTTCTGGCATTCAGTCCCTCCCAGAAGACACTCAGTACCATGCCAAAATGCAGACAGACCAGGTAACATCTTGTGTTACATTCCCAGAACTAATTAATTTGCTAACCATGTGTCAACATTACCGTTTTCATTGCAGCATGTAATGAAAGAAAAACAGCTGAGAAAGAACTGTGGGGCAAAAATACCTTGTAGTAAGACATAACATTTATTTAAACCTCTCTATATCACTCATATCCTTCCAGACCTTCATCTCCCAAAACTGTTAAAACCACAAGACTTTCAAATACACCTGACAATACAGACACAACTCTTGAGGGAACTTAAACTACATGCAGGTGCCTGTATCCCACTAATTACACCAAGTCCATTCAGTAACTCTCTTCAAAGGCAACCAAAGGCCAGCATGCAGCTTTATGTATCTGCAAATATTTGAAAGTCTGGCTCTGTTTTTAATTTTACCATATCAACAGCCAAATGCTTATGAGGAAAATAAAATTGATGGAACACATGAACATACATAAAGAAATCAAGACACTTCAATGCTTAATAAATCCAGTTATCCCAATGAAGTACATAATCAGTTCCCCTGTCCTTTACAAATTTTCTCTGGGTAATACCATATATCATTAAAATCTTTATATTGCAAGTTTAAGAGAAAAGGAAACATGCATTGGTATCTGCTTCTCTTCTACTTTAAATGGACAACATAACAGAATAAGATACTAACAAAGTAAAGCATAGTCAAAGCCAAGAAGATTTCTTTTAATTATAAAATTTTTGACAGTGTTTTCTTCTGGAAAGAATGCAATTTGTAAAATATCAGACCATTCTAAGGAAATAGCTTGATTTACACCAGAACTTACCCAGAATCCAAGCAGGCCTTGTTTCCAATACCTCAGCATACCTTCCTGGAAACCTGACTGCCAAGAAGCTTGGGAAGCAGTAACTGAAAGAATTCCTGAACATTTCTTGGTAGGGTGAACTACTCTATAAACACAGATCCTCAGTGCCCCAGTTCCCAATAGTTTGTGGGGCACCCTTGGGAAGAAGCAGAATACCCAAGCTTTGTACATTATCTGCCACCTCCCACTTAGTTCACAGGAAATCCAGCTCCAGACTTAAACTGGTGGGTTGCTGGAAAGCCCAAGCTTCCAGTCACACTTGCATCCAGACTCCATCATTGCCACAAAGCCAGCGTACACCTGGCATCACTAAGGTACTCTAAAAATACTGTACACACACTTTGATATTTCTAAAGATAAAAATTGTGAATCCAGTTGCACAAAAGGAATATGCAGTTTCAACTATTTTATCCCAATCCAGGAAAACTAATGTTATATGAAGAACTGAAATTCTGCTTTTCCTATAACTTTAATAGCCAGTCCATACTAAACAGTTAAAATTTATGCATTGATGTCTCATATTCCAAGCACTAAAATAATTTCAGACATTTAGAACTCAAACAGTTTATTCCCATATATGCAATAGATTCTTTGCTAGGATCCAAGAAAGTTGAAAATCAGTGAGACATACCACACTTTTATCCACAGTGGAGCCTGTTCTGTTATCATTGGAATTTTCTGCAGAGACAGCTAAATACCTGTAACAACATTTTAAAAGTTTTATTTTAAGAGTTGTTTAAAAGGAAGGTTATCAAAACAGAGAATATAATCATCCTAAAACATAACCTCCAGATTTTTTGCTCCAAAATGTGGATAAACAAATAGTAACATAACCAGATTTTTTCATTTCTGTATTTACTAGACTTTTAAGATTTAAGCATATTTAATTGAAAACCTCACATTATTTCTTGTAAAGGGTAAAGCAGAAAACTGCAGTAGAAGACCTCCAGAAAAAAAGAATTTCTGCCAAACACTAATACAACCACTTTTTTTTAATAACCATTAAAAATCTTTGCTTTCCATGGTTACAACACTCTCATTGGCTTCCATCCCATAAATATTTACTCAGGCACTTATGCAGCAAGTAGCAGCAATGAAGCAAACTCTGCAGAGATTGTGTAACTTCCAACAAAGTTACTAAGAGTTCCACACACAAAAAGTTTGCCCTGAAGCCAGTGTTCTTATTTTACGTAAAGTGTTTTCTAAAAATACCACAGATTTCTACTTGTCGTGATTCTGAAAAAGTCAGGTAAATAAATACAAATTACTATCTTCAAATTCCTTTGGTATTTGATGTGATATTCTTGGCCTGATAACTAACCTAGAGAGATGTAAAGCATCTATCTCTAACTTCATCAGATCATGTGAGGAAAAACTCTCCAACACATGAACTGAGGAAGATGGACGCATCATCTTTTTTGTGTCACACACATTTTCACATACACAAAAACCTCTCCAAAAGATCACGGAGGGTAAAATCAAAGACACCTCCAAAGCCAAGGTGAAATTAAACATCAAGACTGCTTTCCGATAATCAAATGACAGATCGAAAAATGGAAAATTTCCCTACAGAAAAGGACCTGATGTCTTGAAGCCACCATATTTTGCACTCCAGGGCTGTTGAGCAGTGAGAATGTGATATTTAAATGAGGCACAGCACCAGCTCCATCAGAATCCAGAAGAGAACAACACAAGCCAGACAGGGCTGCAAAGTGTTCTCAGCTAGTATTCCAAAATCTGTGAAGTTCAATAATAAACAGCCATATTTCCTAGTGTACAATCAATGACATTACAGCTATGGAAAGTATTCCATATTCAAAGATCGTACTACTTCCTTTAAGGACAGAAGTCACATCGTTTTCCTAGATTTCTGTTTCTTTAAATCCTCCAGCGTACATGAACAAGATTAAATTGAATGAGGGTGGAGATAAATGTGCAACTTTTTTCTAAATATGCAATTTTTTAAATGTTTGAACTATTTTCAATACAAAAAGGCAATAAAAATTAGGATTACAGGTTTAGCAAGTATGAATGGTCGTTTCAGCCTTTTCAAGACTATCACACCAGCAGAGTATTATGGGACAAAATTCCGCTCTGGGACAGCACTTTAGGACTAGTAGGCCTACAAAATTATGGTAGTATTTAGTAGCAGTTCTTCAATGACAGTAAAACACAGCCACTTAGTTCTCTAAATTTTATGCAGAAAGCAACAACAAATCCAACTCTTTGCAGAGATGGAAAGAATTTCACCACAGGCTCGGAAAAGTGGTGGTTCTACTATCCAAGGATGAAAACCAGATTTATTTCCTTTAAGGCTTTCCTATCCAGAAATGCAATTAAAACTAATAGTCTCTGACATGGTCTACGAGAAGTTTTAGCCCATTTTAAGCCTTACTGATACCCACTACAATTAACAGCAGCTTTCAAAGTAAGAAAAAGTTATTGAGATTTTTGAATGTAAATATTAGCTATCCATAGTGCCTACAATAATAACGACTGTTGAATATATAAATTAATATAATTTTAACTGATGTAATTTAAACTCTTCTAAGCAACAGTGAAAACAGTAAGGCATCAATCACAATCTCACTCGGCAATGGATGAGTACTTAGGGGGGAAAAAAAAGGAACAAATTATGAAGCAGGTAACAGACAATTATTTTCTCTCTAGTAAGCCAGGGTTTAATGTATCATGTGCTAAAACACTGATGTAAAGTATGGAGTCTTCATATACAGCTCAGGAACAGTAATTTGCAATAAAACAAAGTGACACTTCACATCCTTGATTCATGACTCTACATATATAATTTAGTGCTCTGCAGGCAGCTCTGCCTAGTAGCAGCAACAGTGGATTTTTCTTGCTTAGCTTCTGCAGCCCCTCTATATAATATTCTTAATGCAGAATAAGACATTCACAAATTCAGTGTGATATTTTAAGGTACTGATGACTAGCAGTACTGGTTATCATTAGCTAAATGTCAAAATAGTATAATTTATTAGGATTCTGGATCATTAATAAGAATCTGAAAAGGCATGTATCTAAATACTGGCTGGTAAGAGTCAGAAACAGCTGCTGACAAAAGAATAGACCATTAGCTTGCTTTCCGCATACATACCGACGGTTGCTGTAGTATGTAAATCCTACAAAAGGAAGTTGGTTGCCCACAAATGCTTTTGGTATGGGAAATGTTTCTTCCTCTCCTTTGTCTTCTTCCAGATCATCAAAATTACTAGTGTCAATGTCACTACTTAAGTCAGGCACAACTGGTGCTACAGCTAGAAAAAAAGGAGAATAGTATGATAATGATAATTGTATTACTCAAGTGACACAATCAAGAATTTGGGGAGGAGAATTTTTCTTTGGTGCCTAAGAAATCTCTTTCCTTGGTACAGGAGTAAATAAAACTTTAAATTCCATTAAAAAGAAATATAGCAGTTATTTTGCTAATATAATACATAAGTCAGCCAGGTTATGGTCTCTGAGAAAAGTATTATACTCACTATCTCTGAGAGTTTCCCAAGCCCATTGATCATTTTTGAAGAAAAGGTGCCGTTTAATTTCTTCTACGCCATTTCGTCCTAGCCTCACTTCCCTGTTAAAGAGTGTTTTGGTTAAGCACAGAACATCACATAAATTATTCTGAAGGAAAGACTCATTCTAAGGCATAATCTAACAACAAACAAAAAAATCACCTCTCTAAGGTAAGAAGTACCTATCTCAAAGTTTTCATATGAAGATATCTATGGGAGCACAGCAGCTACATTTCAGAACACAGTCTGGTTTTAAGTCTGGTCCACAAGAAGTCCTGGCGCTACTGTTTCCACCATCACAGATTGACTAGGCAGCTAGGTTCCACTTTTTCCAGGAGTTCATGCTGTTGTTTGAATCCCAAATGCAACAGCCCCTCTGTTTCATAGCACCAGTTCTCAAGCCACAGTTATGTTTATATTAGTAAGTAGCGTGGGTACAACAGGAGTGTACTCACAAAGCAAAACAGACCTAACACCCACATTTCAGACAGGGTTTTGTGGGCTGACTCTACCCTGATCCTGAATGCCCACCAAGAGCTGGGAGTGCATTAGGGGAACTCCTGAAGTGCATCTTTTGCTTTAGCTTCATCCCAAAGAAACCTGTTTTGTGTGCCCCTCATCACTGTGCAACACAGACTAATGTAACAATAGCTGTTACTAAGGAGTAATGCTTCATATTCAAACTACGTTTATAGGGTAGGCATACCCATAGTGGCAGCATTTTGCTTTCTCCAGTATACATGCTACTACCATGAAGAGCAGCAGCAACCATTAGTGACTCATCTCCCAAATACAGGGACCAGAAAAGATGAAACTGATGCTACTGCCTGTCTAGCTCGCAGTAGCATCACTTAGTAACTGCTACTTCAGGTCAGACAAAACGCTACTTCAGAGTAGACAATGTAACTTAAAGACTTAGACTGAGGTTCTAAAAAATTCTTCACTAACAAGTTAAAACAGCCTTTCCGTACTTCAAGCAAGTGGCTAACAGTTTCTTACATTGCTGTAGTTCAGAGAAAAATAAAGCCCAATTCCTATGAAGAACATTCAACTACCAGAAATGCATTCAGAGATCAGAAATACACCTCTCTACAGCAGCATCTAAATGGGAAAAGTTATATTGCATTTGTGCCAAGACAATAAGAGTTCCACTTCTCTTGAGCAGTTTAGAAACCCATACAAAACAAATACATATATGTTCTTTCAACATGAGAAGACATTTTCTTAACGAAGGCTTACTTTCATTTTGAGTAAAGTTTAACTCTTACCTATCAGTTAAAAAGGCACAAATAAGGTTTTTTGCCTCTTTAGAAATGTCATTGTCATCAGGGAAAGTAAGGGAGTTCTTATGGTTCATAATCTTACTGTATGTTCCAACCAAAGAATCTGCATAAAAAGGTGTATCACCTAAAAAAGCAGCAATGCAAAAATTAAAAAGCAGATCAAAAGTATTGTAGACTTGATTTATAATATTTGAATTAGATATGCAACAATGTAAGCAACTAAGTCAACAAGAGGCAAGGACAAATGCTTGAAAACTGTGCCAGGCTATTTCTAAAACATATTCTGTAAATACCAGGATCAGTAAACCACAGCTTATGTCAGAAGAGTAATAAACTAAAAAGTTAAAAACTATAGTGATTTTAACATGGAGTCTAGTTAAGCAGTGTAGTCAATTCCGATTATCCTACTACTCACCTACAAGCATCTCATACAAAAAGACTCCCACTGACCACCAGTCGCATTCTCGCCCATAGTAACCATCACCACCCTGGGACTTCAATACTTCAGGAGAGATATAGTCTGGTGTTCCCACAGCTGTATCACATCGTACCATACCTTCCTACAAAGAGGAGGAAAACAGCCAGGCCCAAATATAAAGTCCAAAATTGCAAGCCATTTCCAAGAGTTTATGCAGCCTAAGCAACATCAACAGTTCAATGTCAACTTTGGTCAACAAATGTTCTTTTTTGAATGGGTATTGTAACATTTTTAGATTCGAAGCTACTAAATCCAGAACAAAGCACCAGATCTGTCAAACACAAAGTTACTTCAAAAACCTCAGTTAATATCCAAGTAGTAATCAGAATTGCATCTAGGCCCTGTAAACACTGCACAGCCTCTCCCTGCTTGTGCCAATATAAATGTGTCATATACTGACAGGAAGTACCGTAAACAGGCAAAGCTCCTCTGTTAGCATAAATGAGTCAACATCAGGGATTTTGCTGAAAGGATCAGCTAAAATGCAATTTTTTTGCCTCCAACCCAATATACTTAATGCCAGGAAGACTGAAAGTAGACAAGGCCTTGAAACTCTATGTAGGCAGACCTCAAAACAGGTAACAGGTGAGAACATTTGGTATTCCTCAAACCCCTGAGAAAGGGCTGACAGAACAGAGATCAGTCACACTGGAGCTGGCATCCAGAATGCTGAAGCTGCAACCATGTGCCCCTTTCCAGTCCCATTCAAGCACTTCTGAAATAATCCTATGCCATTCCCAGAAATGGATCAGTAGAAAAATTTGCATAAAAATATGTAACTAAGTAAATATAACAAATACAGATCCAATGTTGCGTATGCAGCACATCCAGAATGCACCTAAATTAAGCTCCTATGCTGAGCAGTTTCTCTCCCACAGAGTAACCTTGCCCTTTCAAAAGACTACAGAAATCCAAGACGAGGCTCAAGACTACTCAGCTAGCTTTGCTTAGAACAGCACAAAATGTAAGGTGGTGTTGACACAAGTTTACTTCTGTAATGCTAATATATACTAAAGTTTTGTAATATTTTTTCTTTTTTTGGCACTTACAGCTTAAACGCTAGGATAATGTTTTTCTGTATTCCAAAATTCCTCATTGTTAAGAACACAATCAGTCAAGGATAAATGTGTATTAAGTCAAAATAAAACCAAATTTTGTGACAGCTATTCCACTGAAGCGTGGACTGTTTGTGACTTCTGGTAACTCCGTGAATTTGTACACATAACCTGCACTTGGTTTCATTGGTGCCTTTTCTTTATGGCAAAGCAGCTAAATACAGTGATTTATTCAAAGATCCTGGAACATGTTGAGAACACAATGCACATATTACAGAGACTCTATTAAGCACCATGTATTTCAGATTTTTTTCCTCATATATATGTGCAGCCTGACACAAACCAACAA